GGTCAGCGGTGACCCAGGCCGGACTCAGCACCGCCCCCAGGTCCAGACACAGCGCCAGGAAGATGCACACCAAGCCGACCAGCTTCAGCGGGGTCAGCACCGACACGCGCACCTCCTCCATGCCGCTGCCCGCCGAAGCCATCCCGGGGCGCCGCTGCCTCCCGCCCCGGAGGCGAGGACACCAGGCGGTCCGGAGAGCCTGAGCCCGACGCCCAGAGGAGCGAAGCAGCTGAGCCGCAGCGCGTGGGGACTAGTCCCTCGGGGCTCCGCGCCTCCAGCCGCGTGGGGAAGGTGGGTCTGTGGAGGCGGCTGGCCCGATGGGGGTCGACAGCAGCCGCCCGCGACACTGATCCCGTCGCGGACCTTCGCCGCGCGCTCTGCCAGCGCCCGCGCCTGCTCCGCCCCTGAGCGAACCCCACTCGCTCCGCCCCGGCCCCTCCCCGGGCTGCGAGAGGCGGCGCCAAAGGAGAGGGGCGGAGGGTCCGCACCCTGGTGGCTTCGGGCTCTGGCTCACAGTCCTACAGACTCTAGCTCGTCCTACCCCGCCCTTGATTCTGCACCGGCCCGTGCCCATGCCGGTGCCTCTGCCGCTGCACTTGCCTCAACCCCGCGCGCCCGCTGCGCTCCTCAGTTCCTTCAAGCAGACCTGCCCGGATCCCGCCCCAGACCACGCTAGCTCTAGGGTCGTCCTCTCCAATCCTCGCTCAATCACGTGGATTTCCTTTTCCTAAGGAGCTCGGTGGGTCGTTTTCTAGAAGGCGTTAGATGTGAATTCCTAGGTTTCTTAAGCGTGGCCGTGAAGCAAGGATAAGTCCCCTCTCTCTTCCAAGGCCACTTTCACATCCTGAAGGATTTGAAAGGTGGAGAAAAGTGACGAAGGGCATTTCGCCCTCTTTTCAAACCCAGGACGGGCCAAGGAGCCCTGGGATCCCTATTTCTTCAGTTTTCTAAGCCGGCTTCTGCTTCTGTTCTCTGGGCTCGCCTGCTTTTGCGCCCCCTATGAAGGGCGTTTGCTCAGGGCGTGCAGAACTTAGATATTACGCAAAATATAAAGAACCTTATTTGCATCTTCGCTGCTCGGTCCTTTGCGCGTTGACTAAAACCTTAATCTAATCCTGTTTGAATTATGCCCAGCTCTAGCCCCCGGCCTGTAATAAGAAAAAAAGTGTTATTATCTTCCCTGAACGGGAAACTAATGAATCTACAAATATTTATTGAACACCTACGGGTTCAATAAATATTTGTAGATTCAGCCCAATAGGGCATTGTCCTGATTCTTAAGGAGACACTTCGTGTTTTTCCCCATGCATGACGACTAAACATCCCTTGAAACTGAAATTGCGGTTTTGAATTTGGGTAGTTCATTCAGTATGTGATTGAAGAGTTCTGTCTTGGCTACTTTCTAGCTTTCCGGTAAAATACATTTATCAACTAGATCATTGGAGGAGTTTAGGTTGTTCTTAGATCATTCACCATCTCCAAAACTTGGTGGGAAACCTAAAATAGGAATTAAGACCTGAAGATGGAAAAACACTCTCTCCCTTTTTTGAAATACCAACCTCAATTTGTTGGTAACAATTCTTTTTTAACCACCTCTTTGCATAAATTGACACATCTTGATCGAACCTACGTTTTGTGTCTAACAAACAACAGAATTGGTGTCAAAAGAACAAGAACCAATCCGATGGAAAATAAAACCCCACTATTTTCTTACGTTTATAAATGAGATAACTGGTGACAGTCCCCTAACCGCTCAATCATTATCATGCTAATTACTGTAGGACCATTCACAAAGAATGACGGTAGCACTCTGAGCTCCATAACCTGGTACTTCCAACCTTATTCTTTGCCTCCCCAAAGTAAAACCAAGCCTAACAGCCTCTCCTTGAGAATATTCTTTAGGGAATACTGAAAAATGTAAAAACCGGGAGGACGAACAGGGGTGACCAGGCTTGTAAACATCTTTAAAAAAAAAAAATCTGGACTTATCTGTGGGCTTACAATGTACTTTCAGAAGTAATCTTTAAGAAAATTTCTTGACCATGCTCTCGAAGTTATAAAGAAATATTTTTCCAAGTTCTATCACTTTCTCTTTAATAAGTTACTCAAGTTAGCTAATATTTTAATCTTTGTTCCTTTTAATTCAGGCTTTCTTCCCTGGCTACCCCTACCCATAACCTCTAACCTCCACATCTGTTTTGTTTATTTACTATTTTCCCTGGGTTATTCTCAACAGCTTACTTGAGTTACTCCATTCCTCTTTGTATTCCTAAATTTTTTTTCCTCAACATTATTTCCAAAATTAGGGGAAAAAAACTTTTTTAACAACAAAAAGCCAAATTCTCATTCCTCTATTCCTCTATTATTTATTTATAAAATTTGCACAGCATAAGGACGATCAACTATTCTTAGTCTTCTTCAAAATACAAAAAGCTCTCAAAACAAAGTATTTTATTTCTTTTTGTAAATATGCAGCAAATTCATTTGGTGGAAAAACCTATTTTAAACATTATGATTTTGATTTATCCCACTTCATGCAAATCAGTGCACATCCACTATATAATTTACAGTATGAATACCAATGTATTCTTCAAATACCTGAAATTTTCTGAATTTTTCATCATAGCTGGCTAAACAAATTTTCATATAAGGGATGATAGACCAGTATTTACCCTAGATAGAAAAAGTAGAGGAGGTATTCCAACTAGCATGCATTAAATGAAAACCTACCAAAAAGCAGTACATGCCTGGAAGTGGGGTGGAAAATGGGGTGAAAGGTGAGAACTAAGATACACACTTGCATGCACACACACATACACAGGATGGAAATAGACCTAGATTTGAGAATGAGGGTCTACATTGAACTGAAGAAAATTAGAGCACTAAGGTTGGGGAGAATTGACTCAAGATTACTTAGAATTGATGTTTTTGTTGACCATGCACTTTTCATGTGACACAAGGGCCAGAGTCCTCATCCTTTGCTTGAGTCTAGCCTGAGACACTGTATCACCATGGTCACCCCTGTCTCTGGACTGCAGCAGGGAAGAGCCTATCAGCTATGGTCCTTAACTCTGTCCTTTGGTATAAGAGCTCCATGAAAATTGAATACATGAATTGTGTTGCTAAGGAAAGACAAGAAGGAGTTTCTGAAGTCGGGGAAAAGATCAGCTCAAGCTTGAATCAGTGAGGCCAGAAAAAAGCAACAACAAGGACAACAACCAAGAGAGAGAGAGAGAGAGAGAGAGAGAGAGAGAGAGAGAGAGAGAGATATCAGCAATGTTGAATGTGAAATTGGATGTCTAGAAGATATTGGGAAGTCCATCAGGAAAGTAGAAAGTGTCCTGGGGATTGAGTTAGGTTACAGACGTCCAACTTGTCTTATTCGGAATAAAGATACATTAATAGCCTGAGATCACACAACATATCAGCAAGGGGAGCATCTTCTATATTTGCTTGGTAGATTAAGTATGCAACTACTGTTTCAGTCATGTGGAATAAACACAGGGGATTTAATCAGGTAAAAAGGTAAATTGTTCATTGTTTTCAGTAATGAGCCCAACAAATTGTACACATTGCTCAAGTCACTAACTTGTCACTCTTGCAGCAGCCACTGGGTACTGTCAATCCTAAACCCTTCTTTAGATGGGCAGAGGGAGGTTTCCTCCTTTTCTAAACTCAGACCACCATCCCTATGGAGTAGTCTCTGTCCAGAGAAGTCTACTTTTAGTCAGATTCTCTACCCAGACCTGGAAATATCTTTCAGCTCAGACCTGTTTGCTAACTCAGAGAAAAAAAATGGAGGAACGAATTGCCCGGAAGAATAAAGAATGAAGCAGTCATTGAAAGATTAGAAATACCCAACAACCGCATTTCGAATGTAACAAGTAATAAGGTGGTCAAAATATTTTAGGAATAAGAAACAGATAAATACTTCTGAGGTGTACTCTCTTTAAGTCATTTTTAAGGTCACAAAAGATGGACTGTGATGTGAGGGAAATCAAAATATAATGACCTAAGTCTACTACTGATGATGACTAATGAGGTCAAGAGAGTTTCAGGCTATGGTGCATTCTGTATTGCATTTCTGGGATTTTTTTCTTGTGTTGTGACAAAGTTCTTGGCTTAGAATTATATATATAAAAAAAAATAACCATGACTAAGGATTGATATTTCTTCATTTATTTTAAAAAGTATTTACAAGCTGGGCATGGTGGTGCAAGCCTGTAATCTTAGGGGCTCTGGAGGCTGAAGCAGAAGGATCACAAGCTTAAAGCCAGCCTCAACAATTTAGAGAGCAACTTGGTGAGACCCTGTCTTGAAATTTAAAAAAAAATAATTTAAAAAAGGGCTGGGAATGTGGCTCAATGGTTAAGCACCCTTGGATTCAATCCCTGGTACCAAAACAAAAATAAAAAAGCATTTACAAAAATTAAGAATAAAAGAATGAAAACAGCTTATTTTAAAATGTACTATATTATGGCATCAGTTAGATTTAAGTCAATAATAGTACATTCTTTATTCACATTGATGTTTCGATTTCCAGTGAATTGATGTTTCATAGTACCCATGACCATAATAATTTACTCTCCCACAAAGAAAGGAAATAAATCATGGAAGTGAAAACACTAGAGGACACTGAGGGAGAAGGATGATTAGTTTTAAAATAAATATGTTTATCATAATGAAAAAAATGTGAGTCAGATGCCCAAGAGGTAGGAATATGGGAAAATTAGAATAGTCTCAATGGGACTAATTCTAAATGACTTTTCAATCTTTTTAAAACATTTATTTCTTTAACAAATTTTCCCTATAGGCACAAATCTTCCTCCACATTTGTGTTTTATTTGAATTCATTCATAGCTATGTGGAGAAATGACCAAGTATAAGCACATCATGATTTTATGTTTAATCTTTTTGTTTCTTTGTTTCTGACACTACAAGTCAACATAGTTTTGGTTATTCTGAAGCAAGTGCATGCTGCCCACAAACACATTCTCATGCTGATAGAATTTCAGGTATCCTTGAACACTATAAGAGTGATACTTCTTTCCCATATCTGTTGCTAAGTGCTCTCTATGTTTTGGAATTGAATTGAAAATGAAACATAGACAGCCTCAGAAATGCCTACCCTGAATAGTTGAAACAGTAAGATGAACAGATTTAGCTTATGCTTGGAGGAACTTAAAGGGGCTTACCATTGAATCATGACTTAGGTATTGACTTGGGCACAGACCAAGGAATTTAGTGTAAACATGGAAGGGAAAATAAAAAGACATCATGAAGAGTTCTTCATCCTTTTCCCCTGTTCTCCTTAGGGATGATTAGCTAAGCTTCTTCCATGACTTTAAGTTTTAGTCTAAAGCCACCTTTGTGCACTTCTTGGTGAGTTATCATAA